GAATACAAACATCGACATGATCAGGTAGCTAAAATCATACATCAAAAATTAGCACTTAAACACAATCTCATAAACTACAAATACACGCCACAGATCATACTTGAAAACAACACACACAAATTATATTGGGACAGGACACTACTCACAGACAAAACTATCCACAATAATAGACCAGATATTACACTTATAGATAAAACACAAAAATCCATTTGTATTATAGACATTGCCATACCCAACACTAACAACTTAACTAAAACACATGCAGAAAAACACCGCAAATACACCGATATGGCTATCGAGCTTAAGACGCAATGGAGAATGAAATCTACTGTTATAGTTCCCATTATTCTTAGTGCTACTGGAGTTATACCAAAGACAATACACCACAATTTACAACTATTAGGTTTGGACAAAAACACATACAAACATTTACAAAAAGCAGTCATTATCAACACATGCCATATTGTTCGTAAATTTCTAAACATAACACAAGATACTACATACACAAATGATCCACAACGTATACATGTTAACAACAGCACTCGCTCACAACACGGTACACAACATACTGTAATATCTCCACCTCTAACCCAAACAAACACACAAATACAACTTACCGAACAAACAAGTACAACAAATGATACAATATATACTACAATCAGAGATTCACCTCTGAAGCAAACCACATTATCACGACCCATTAGTATTCAACCCAAACGCAAAAGCCTAAACAGCACTTTAGACTCACAACATGACACACAACATACTGTAATATCTTCACCCTTAACTCAACCAACCACACAAACACAACTTCCTGAACAAACAAACGCAATAAATACAAGTAACGCAACATGCACTACAAAGACGCCCTCACTCAATAAAGTTACACGGCCTAGCACAGCTAAAAAACACAATACTCTTTCTTCTCAGAAACACACCACGTTATCACAACCCACTCGTACTCAACCCAAACGCAACAACCTTAACAGCACTACAGGCTCACAAAATACTGTAACGTCTCCACCAATAACCCAAGCAACCACACAAATACAACCTCAAGAACAAAGAAACACAATAAATACAAGTAACGCAACATGCACTACAAAAACAGGTCCACCCAATAAAATTACACGTCTTAGCACAGTTAAAAAACACAATACTCCTCTTTCTCAGAAACAACCCACTCGTATTCAACCGAAACGCAACAACCTTAAAAGCACTACAGGCTCACAAAATACTGTAATGTCTCCACCAATAACCCAAGTAACAACACAGATACAACCTCAAGAACAAAGAAACACCATAAATACAAGTAACGCAACATGCACTACAAAGACAGGTCCACCCAATAAAGTTACACGCCTTAGCACAGTTAAAAAACACATAACTCCTTCTTCACAGAAACACCCCACGTTATCACAACCCACTCGTATTCAACCCAAACGTAAAGCCAAAGAAACACTTACACAATAAACTCCATTTAATAAAATTACAGGAATTATTATAATGATTTTTGTTTTGTTTTGTTTTCCTCTTTCCTGATAGCGTTGGCTTATTGTGCCCATGTGTGATTTTTATTTATTTATTTTTTTTAGGACCCTACATAACTTCACCAGACACAGACACAGACACTGATCGTTACTTGATTTTAATCCGTGCGATTAGTTAACCAGGCTAACCTGAGTTCTCACAAGAAACACCGACCATAATAATAATAATAATAATAATGTGTGAATTTTTATTTTATTTTTTATTTTTTTTTAGAACCCTACATAACTTCACCAGACACAGACACTAATCGTTACTTGATTTTAATCCGTGCGATTAGTTAACCAGGCTAGACCTAAGTTCTCACAAGAAACACCGACCATAATAATAATAATAATAATAATGGATTTTATTAGGAAAAAAAATGGTTCCTACACCATAACCAATAGGTTCAGGGTCAGGTAAACCAGTAGGTTACCTGTTCTTCCCCCTGTACCCCTAGACACATAAAGAATATATTTATACACATAGATTCTACGAAATAAAACAATTAGCAGTTCAATTTTGATTGAAAACAAGCACAAATCTACTAAGTAACTACCTACCAACAAAGGAAAGAAAAACAAAAACAAAAAAACAAAACAATAATAAAATTATGTTAAATTTCGCTCCGATTAATAATTTTCCGTTTAAAGGCATCTTCGGACAGGGGCAATAACTGTCTGTACACCGAATTATTACAGAATTTGCAGATGTTAAATGAAAAAGAGCGTTGAAACATTGCTAGAGCGATGAAACATTGCAACAATAAGGCTGTTCCTCGCCCATATCTCGGGAACCTTTCATCGTATAACTTAGGGGTAAACAAAATTATTGGGTAAATCGGTAATGAAGAATCGCGAGAAAATGTTTTCAAGTTCTAAAAATGACCACCAGAGGGCGTAACTGCGATCTTAAATTTTAAAATTGCATTTTCTTAATAAACATAATAAACCAAACATTCTTTTTTCACATTTTTAAAGAGAACCAGTTTATCTATCATTTTCGTAAAAACAAAAACTCAGTTATTTCTAAAACAAAGATGGCGTGGGCGTTCAATTGTTTTAGCAATAACCTGCTTTAACTTCTTAACGGTTTGACCGATTGTAACAAATTTGGTATCGTTGAAAAGAGCATTCCTTGGGCAACATGAATCAATATAGTTAATTTAGTTGAATCCTTCTCCGCCAGGAGGCTAGTTTTAACACAATGATCCAAAATCCTAAAAAATCAAATGGAATGATGACTTTTTTATGCAAAAGTAGCCCAATAACATCCAAAGAGGCAAGTGAAAACTGTTTTTCAAAATCTCGTTCTTAACCCCAAATATTGGGAAAATCAGATTAATTAATAAAAATGCTTAAATTGTATCTTATTTGGCGTATTTCCGCTATTTGTCGATGGCGCGAAAGATTGTTTGGAAAAAGGCCCTACACTTTTAGGTAAGCCTTGGAAAATTAAACAAATGAAACACGATGCATTATAAAATAATAACAGTCGTAATTTGTAAATTATTCTGCTGTGTTTACATTCAGAAAGTGCTGTTTTTTTGAATTTGTAATCTGTTCTAAACCAAGAAGCATTTAATATGCTGGCAGGCGGCGATGGTTCGTGGTCGATTCGGATAACACAAATAGAATATGTTGTAGAGATGCCACCTGTACCGTTTTCACCCAGACGGTCCGGTTTTTTTAAAGTTTGTCCAGAGTCCGGTCACGCGAAAAATATGTAGGTAGGTGTAATTAAGTGCGGCGTTTCATTTTTGAAAATAAATCATAATAAAGTATGTTTATTCTATAGCAGATTTAAATTGACATTTTATTAGGTTTGAATCGGGTTTGAATGAGTAGACTGTCTCTCTTGAACGTGAACCGTAAGAGTAGATAAAGTGATCACTTTAACGGCAAGGGCACTGGGTAATGAAACAAATCATTGTGCAGTGCAATTCGTAATAGAAACGTCGGGCACGAAATAAAATGAAGTTCAGAACAAAATACAATATTGTTTCCATAGAAACGACGAGATAACCAAGGAAGGGAGAACCTAAACTTGCTATTTGGGACGTCTAAATTAAACATCTGGCTTCCGCTATAAAATAAAATGGGCAGCGATTTTGAAAATACTCAAAATATATCGCCAGCATACGCAACCCACTACACATTTACAAATATCCATGTCCGAACCGGGATTCGAACCAGGGATCCCTAGTACAGCAGTCGCACTTCCACGCCACAGCGCCAAGCGTTCACAAGAATAATTGTGCGGTGTGCCTTAAGGTCAAGTCCAGTCCTGGTCAGAAGTAATGTCCTCCCTCAGATACCTCAAAAAGTGCTAATAATTTCAATATTAGGGACTCAGAACTCACAGGAGATCCAGTATATTATGTGCTACACTTGAGATAATCGAGGGACATTACCTCTGTCCAAAACCGTACAGGTTAATACAAGTACAATATATAAAAACCTGATATCAAGAGCACATGGTTGACATGTACTGCGCCGCACACGCAGATACCCACAATTCGAGTAATAGCTAGTAGATGAGCAATGTATGTTCTGGACCAGGAAGTGACGTCACACCAATCAGAATCGAGTATTTCGGTCACGTGGTCACGTGTGAGCCAATGGGAGCGCGTGAGTCGGCCATTTTGTGACGTCACATTTTTACTGTTTTGCTTCCGGTGTTTCTGGACCAGGAAACGCGTCACACAAATCAGAATGCAGTATTTCGGTCTGCCATTTTGTGACGTCACATTTTGGGTTGGACCAGGAAACGCATCACATCAATCAGAATGCAGTATGGGGAGGTTGTTGTCGGCCATTTTGTCTACATCATATCTAGCATGTTTTCCCGCGTGTATTTATGGACCAGGAAACGCGTCATAGGCGGCGTCGAGGATTTGAACCATCAATACGCGAATTACGAATCTGCCGCTTTAGTCAATTAAGCTTATAATTAGGATGGGAAGTTGCAATCTCGCAATAGCATATATGATAAGACTTTTAAAGGTGTAATAACCATTTTATTTTAATGCATGTAATAAATAGGTACCTACATAATACAAAATGTAATGAATGTACAATTATAATGGAGTACATGAATGATATTATATTCCTAGCGGAGTGTGTTACATCGGATGCAATAGTTTGAAGAGTTTCAGGTATAAATAATAAAAAAAATTAGTATATTTATTATACAAATTGATCATATTTTTGTAACAAATTATTAAAAGCTTCATCATCCTCTTCTATTTCACTTTCATAATTTCCAATGCGAATTTAAATGTCCATCACAGCATAATGCACGTATTGCACATAATCCCTAGTAGGGTATTCATCATCTTCTAATAGTTCCAAATATTCCGTTACTCTTCGCAGTAAAAGCAAAAGTTCTTTTAAATATCGAAATCCGCATCTCTCATTACGTTCCATACTTGCAATTATTCGCATACGTTCCGCGTCTAAAAGGACCTTCGCGCTTTGTAATTTTATTAATTTACTTTCACAAGAATCTGGAATATTTATGTCAACACAATCTTCTTTGTTTGAAAATTTGCTCAATCCCACATTAGTTATACAATTTTCCGTAATACGTAATAAAGTTGAACCATTTAATGGCACATTAATTAAATCATGTAACTTACTCAATTTTTCTTCAAACGAAATGGCAGTTAAATTTTCCAATTCATTTACTAGGTCACTTTGCGCATTTTTTAAGGTTTGTACAAAATTATATTGCTTGCTTTGAAAGTACCAATAACGTTTCGATTGTTTGTCGTTTGATAGCAATACTCTATCTTAATTATAATGTAGAATGATTGTTATTACGTTTATAGCAACAGGAACGGTAAGATACATCTCCTAACAAAAAACCCTAATAAATATAATTTCAGCTTTTTTCACGATGTGGCACATGAGGCAGGGTATGGAATCAATTATTACATATCTCAGCTTCTCACTCTGCAGTAAGTTTTATCGCTTTCTATTTTTATCCTCAACATTAAGGTTATAATTTTCAGATCGAGAAGATTCGTAAGATCCGTAAGTGTTATCGCTGTAAATATAATGTATACAGATATCATTTTTTTTACAGATCTAAATAAATATAGTTAATTGTTTTGTTTTTTCCTCGCGCTCTGTTACTCTATACCTATAGCAGGTAGGGTTAGCTGCCGCTCATACGGGGGTATCTAACGCCACCCTCCACGCCCCTGCAATCACGTCAATACTTTAACTGCTAAGCGCTCAGTTGACTAAAGCGGTAGATTCGTAATTCATGTATGTATCGATGGTTCAAATCCTCGACGCCGCCTATGACGCGTTTCCTGGTCCAGAAATAAACGCGGGAAAACTAGATATGACGTAGACAAAATGGCCGACCGAAATACTGCATTCTGATTGGTGTGACGCGTTTCCTGGTCCAGAAACACCGGAAGCACTACAGCTAAAATGTGACGTCACAAAATGGCCGACTCACGCGCTCCCAATGGCTCACACGTGACCACGTGACCGAAATACTAGATTCTGATTGGTGTGACGTCACTTCCTGGTCCAGAACATACATTGCTCATCTACTATAGCTTAAATACCTAGACAACAAACGAATTGATTTTGGGCCAAATAACAAAAACAATTACAATTAAGATTAAATAATATAATTACAATATACTTGCATATGATTTTGACATACTTTCCTGTAACATGCTTTCAGGAAACGTGGAGCAAGAGCGCCGTAACAGGAAATAATCTCGTTGTTATCCCCCCCCCCTCCCCCGCCCTCAGGAAATTTGTTGTGCCTTAACCGTGATCGCGCTAGCTTTAATCCAAATGACAAAATATGTATAAAAAAAAATAGGGGTTTATTTGAGAAGAGATGCAGGAATAACACGATAGTACAAAGATAATGCTGAAACCCCAAAAGTTCTACGATATTATGTTACTGAGATCTCGTTCAATTTATAAAAGGCGCCCTAACAGCTGACAGTTAGTGAAACAATAAGCTCCTTTTTGAGAATCAAAAATGATCTAAAAATTCGCATATGTTGCACACTTAACTTACCTTGCGCATTATGTGATTCTGTTAAATGTGAACAAATGTATAATATTCCCTAAGTGTTCCGATGGGGATGCTCTGCTTTTACTACAAACCCTAGGGTCACTGGAGGTGTCCATTCTTAACGCATTTTCTGATGAATCTACACATGCGCAGGCTCTGCATCAGCGCCACCTTTTTTTTGTGAAATAAAGTTACCTGTTGAAACGCAATTGAGCACAAGCGCAGCATTAAATTGGCTACTAGTGGGATCTTTCACGTAATAAATTTAAATTAAAATAGGCAAATTCGAGTACTCGGCGCCTCCAAGAAAGTGACTTAAATAAACTCTCATCTGATTTGGACTAGTGAAAGGGGGTAGGTCTAACAAGGTATTAGAACGACTGTTTCCACAATTCTTACATGGTAAGCTACCTTTTCGAGCTGGCGAATTGTTACCAGGCACTGACAGCTGCTTCTTAATAGCCGGCGGCGTCGACGCCTGCTTGTTAAATGGACGTACTGGCTGTACAGGCGCGTTCCGTGAACCCATCGATCTCGGTAGCGTTTGACTCTTCGACACGTTCACACCAACCGGCCGTCTTGCCGCCACCGTCAATTTTTTACCAGTAGCTAAAAAGGACGGTATTAGACTTTTGCGTTTGTAAGACGTGCTTTAGTAAAAAATGACCAGTTACAAAGAGAACGATTTAGCTACCTGTAGAACAAATACTAGGTTTAACAATAGGAATGCTACTAGAATAACTAAGGTGCGGTTTTTGAAGAATTTTAGCCTCATTTTGTATAGCCATACGTTCCAAATTATCCAAACTCTCTAAAAAGAAATAAAACTGATAAAATTAGAAAAATAAAATAGCAACCGGTCGACATATTAACACAGAGACCAACCTAAGAATTGTAGGCGATCCTTTGCCATTGCCAAATTAGTTTTCATTTTGTCGTGCAGCCTTTGAGCTCTTTCCCAGACCTCTCCTCGTCCTCCCCAGCACTGCACTGCAATTCCCAACTCTAGCTCGTTGATGCCTTTACGATACAACTCAATCGCCAATTCTTTCTGGCCTTCATTTTCTTCGTCAATCTTGAGTGCCTTTGATATATATTCGAAAGCTCGCCGGTGATGATGTTTTTGCTTAGCTAACAGGGGATCTCCGGGACCCGGTCCGGTTAGCCTAGGCGTAATATTCGACATTTCTTGTACTTCTACGGTCTCACTTTGTTTATTATTCAAATCTGAGAATGTGGAATTACGACTTTTGAGTAGATAGCTCGAAGAACTGCAGTAAATAAATTTAAGGATGATGAATATTTGGTATAAAAGCGAGTGCAGTATATTAAACATGAAAATAATGGGAAAGGAGACAAAACACAGATTTCTTTTATGAACTGAAGTCTCTGAAGTGGAGGGAAATGTCAGGTGAGTACTTGGAACATCTGTGTCGTTTTTTCTGGATTTCTTATTTGGAGATTTATTACTTTGCGTTTTACGAACCATCCAAATACCATGACAACAAATTTATTAACAATTAAATCATTGTTAATGTTTTATACTATAAAAATTCAACACAACAAAGGGAATCAACAAAAATTCCAGTTTTCCCATTATATCAAAATTCCATATAACAAAACCATCCCAAACTGTCATGCTAAAGTAAAGATTACACTTTTATTTGTATTACCATATACAGGGTGCAACATATAAGTAAGCAGCACACTTTCAACTTGCATTTTGCCAGTATTACAAATTTTCGGAAAAAGCATTACAACTAATCGAGAGAAAACGATATGAGGTTATCAGGTGGCTTTCATTATAGCACTAATGTTATTACCAATAGTCCAATATCCGCAAATTTTAAATTGAAGACTAACATGCACCCTGGGACCTGCTATACCTGACCCATTGTCCCCAAAGCTTGTTTTTAACCTCTTGAGTCACCCCTCTAAGCCTACCATGCTACATTATTTGTTATTATAATTTTATATTAATTTGTCGGCTGGTTTTTTTTCTTGGTAAGTTCTTTTTTCTCCAGCCTATTTTCATTCGGCGAACTATATGATTTTCAGTTTATTCATACAATGTAATTTATTTCGACTTAAATTTTCGAGCTTTCACAATCTTCATCATACCTAACAATAATTATTTATTAAACAAACTTTTCACAATTTCAGTGTTTTATTTTATGTTGCTTCTCTATCGTACTCCAGGTCATAGTGTTGTTTGCAACTGACGTAAGGGAGCTCTGCCTTAGATGTATAATCACGTGCCACTTTTCCATTCCAAATTTAAGCGGGATCAGTTTAGTTTTGGAGAGAATAGTCATTCGGGTGGCCATTTTTAAACGTTTCCCGGGTTGACTTTATTTCCGTGTTTATGAAGTGTGAAGGACCGGAGGGTTAAGTACACTACAAAGTTGTCCTATTAATAAAGGTCACAGGCCATATCGCTATGGAATTAATTGCGCACCTTGAGAAGACATTTTATTAACAAAAGCGGCAAAGAGAAATCGATGGAAATTATTTTCAGGCTTCCAGGTTTGCCGCTAGAGGGCGTAAGATACATGGTTAAGCAGAAAATAGTTATTTTCCTAAAATATACCAAACGAACATGTATCGCAATCTTGTATGAATTTTACATCATATACCGTGGGTTACATGAAATCTTATTAGTAAATGTGACGAGTAGTAGAGAGCGTGGTTTGATATCTATAAATTTTACTTATTTTGTACCCAGTTTTGTTATAATCCCACTATTAATCTTCATTAAAATTATCAATAATTTTTTATGCAATATTTTTGCCATCATCATACATTTCAACCATGAAATGATACACAGTATGATACCATAGTTATTTCTTATCCATTATAAGAAATATTTGAAGAATAACGGTGAAAAAAGTTCAATAAGTAATAATATTTAATATCATTCAAAAGCAAAGCTGTACATTAAAAAAATACTGTAGACAATAATAATTATTATTAACACCATTTCTATATTTACACAACCATTTCATTCTTAAATAATGTATACGTACTTTATTCTAATTATTGAATGTATTGGATATTAGCATACTGTTTCTTTGTAAATTATAACATGCCTTCATTATTAACATACATCCAAAGCAAGTGCCGTACATATTAAATTAATTAGAATCACATTTTTATTCCTGTACATTAAGAACGTACTTAAATGTAATGATCAACATCATGTACTTAAGTACTAACTGAAACTTAAAAAAACAAACAAAAAACGTACTACGAGTATTTTAAAGGGAATACGGTAAGAAGTGCCCAGATCTAAAATATTGTGAAAGGTTAAAAAATAACACATGTGCGCATTTGCCATATTTAGACTCTATAAGGCTCAACAATAAAAAAAACTGGAATATTTTACAAGAAGAAAATATGCTATTACTCTAAGTCTATAAACAAAAGGGTTGCAGAACGATATAAAAAGTGTAAACTTTCACTTAGAACCCGAATAAAAACATAAAAAAATTCTTGCGACAAGTGCAAAGTTGTTGGCACTAAGCTTTCTAAGATGTAGGCATGATGACATAAGACTAGCACTTGTTTACATCGGGTGGGGTGACGAGGAATTCATCAGCTCGCTTGTGATCGTTAAGGGCTTTCATTGTATATACATCTTGAGGTAATTCCGATTTACGACGTACTATCTGCTTAATTACGTGGCCTCCCTTACGTACCTAGATTATTAGAAGAGAAAACCATTAAATAAGATACACAGATTTAAAGATCTCGTAATAAAAAAACAGAAGCAGTTGCATGTAACAGAAGTTTTGAGACATCACTTAGAAATTACCATTTTAAGTCTTGGTGACTTGGGTTCTTGTAGACATACAATACAATAGGGTGTTCTTAAATAAAGTGACAAAATAAAATCATGTAATGTTACAGATCAGACAATCGGGATGGGAGGTTAAGTGCAAGAGCAGCTTTCAGTTAATATTCGTATTAATCTGTAAATCAGTGGGGATTTACGATAATTCAACCGGTTTACCGGGTTGGTAGAAATCACCATAGAAACAATTGTCTCAATAATTGTAACCATAGCAAAATCTACCAACCCGGTTAAACCGGTTGAATTATCGTAAATCCCCAGTACTGTTGTGATGATAGTTTTTTTGTTAAAACCTGCTTGCTTTGTTTTTTTTTTTGTAAATGTGTTACCTCAACAGTCACAAGTACAATTGAAGTTTTTAATATAGTTAAATCTATTTTTTGTCTCAAACTTGTTACATACATTTACTGCTTTCCATTTGAGTGAAAGAGGAGCTGTAAGCTGTACCGTGCACGATGCCCTGTGTTCCTTTTAAGAAAGCTTCGAGCTCTGACGCGCCCGAATTTGGATTTCCCTTGTCCCCTCATGCACCACCTATTTGCTTGGGGCTTGTAACACTTCTGTGGTTATTTACGTACTGTGAATGTCAATGTGTTAAAAATGAACAACTTGCAAAATGAGCTGCTCCGAACGAACTGCACCAGAGCTTCACGCACTCAAATGGAAAGCAGTAATTATGACATTAATACTATGCGAGTCACAAAATTATTTAATCACATTTTCTACAGCAAAAATACAAATTTGTAGGAAGTACACATAAAGGGGACAAATGTGCCAAATTGCTAAACTTTGAGCTTTGTTATTAATTGTTATTAATAAGCATATTAACAATTGCATTGCTTTCTGTAGTAGTTGGTTTCAGCTACAGAATTCCTTCTCCTTGCTGTATATGTTTGGATTAGGTAACTGTGCATTTAACATGTGTGAATGTGTCCTTTGTTTTTATTGATGGCAATTTTACGCCAAGCTGTGTGTGCACTGATATAGTCGACTACTACCGCATCATTTATTATATAAGGAAGGCGTTACATAACAAGAAGGTCGGAGAGCAGCACTGGAAACATGAAATCTGATGTTTCAAAGCTATTGGGCACTATTGACATAGTAAAGGCTGGTACAAATACTCAGAGCTGGGCAGTATTCGATTTTGTAAATACTTTTTAGTATTCAAATCCTTTAAATTATTCAAATACTTTGTAATTAAATACTTTTATGGAAGCAGTATTTGTATTTGTAACTCAAATACTTTCACAAATATTTAGTATTCGAATACTTCGCAAAGTATTTGGATACTTCGTAAAGTATTCGAATACTTCTCATAGTATTTGAATACTTAACCTTCCTTTTTTACCAAAAATTGACTACACCAAAATTTCTCGGGAAAACACTTTTTCTTATTACTTTTGGGGCGTAGAATCCAAAACAATTCGTACTTTTTCGCTCAGACTTCTCAATCAAAAGTTATGGACTAGAAACCAATGTTGAAAAAAAATTCAAAGGGCTGCAACTTTTGAAATAGTAGCCAAATATTGGAACTGTTTGAAATTATGGATTCTACAGGCCACATTCTATAAGAAAAATTATTTCCGGGTCGATCTGAGACAATTTTTTTTCGGGGTTCAAAAAAAGGCAGTGTATAACCATCCTTTTTTACCAAAAATCGACTACACCAAAATTTCTCGGGAAAACACTTTTTCTTATTAATTTTGGTGCGTAGAATCCAAAACAATTCGTACTATTTCGCTCAGACTTCTCAATCAAAAGTTATGGACTAGAAAACAATGTCGAAAAAAATTCAAAGGGCTGTAATTTTTGAAATAGTAGCCCAATCTTGGAACTGTTTGAAATTATGGATTCTACAGGCCACATTCTATAAGAATTTCAGGACTACAATCAAGGCGTTTTTAACAGACGCGGCGGTATATAGTCACGATGAATTTGTAACTGCTGTTGGTGGGCTAAACAATTTTTTGTGATGTTTGTTTTATATGTTTTTTCTGTTTATTTTAAAGATTAGTTATTTACAGACACATAAATATTTATTTACATGACATGTTAACAGATCTGAAAATGGTTTTATCATTAATTTGACAATTGTAAGTACTCATGTACACTAACAAAATATACCATTATTATTATTAGAAAATTTTTTTTCCGGGTCGATCTGAGACAATTTTTTCGGGCCTCAAAAAAAGGCAGTGTATAATGTTTAGGGAAAGTTTCCATTTTCACAAAATCAAATATAAAAATCCGATACAACTGAATACCGAACGATCCTGGAGTGAAACTTTTTGACTCTATAGTCTACGTAACTTAAAAACAATAGGGACCTTTCTTATATCCTTAAGACCATGTGTACCATTTTTCAAAGCGATCGCACGTTTCTAAACAATTAACAAACTATCATGCACACGGACAAACGGATGGTAAAAAATGGATCTGTTCCAAAATCGTTAGGATTAAATTCAGAAAGGCGTACATATCATGTGCACGACGTACGATCGCTTTGAAAACTGGTACACGTATTCTTAAGGATATAACTGGTATAAGAAAGGTCCTAGTAGGTACCTCCTATATAATAATAATAATACGCTTTTACTCCCCTTAAATTTGTATATAACAATAGAAATATAAAAAAAGCTAACAACATACAAAGTATAACTTGATTTTTTATCTAGTATACTATTTTAAATTTTTAATGTATTTGAGTGACAAGTATTTGAATACTTTTTACTGTTTTCGAATACTTTTCAAAGTAAGTTAATGAAATACTTTTCAAAGTATTCGAATACCTTCGATAGTATTAGAATACTTTTGAAAGTATTCGAATACATTCTAAAGTATTTGAATACTTATTTTTTAAAGTATTTGAATACTTTTCAATTTATCTGTATCTAGTATTCGCTTGTGCTGGACGTAAAAGTATTTAGTATTCAAATACTTTTTGAAAGTATTCTGCCCAGCTCTGCAAATACTCATATCAACTGAGGGACGCATTTGTTGAAATTTTGCAGTTAGACCTTCCTGATAGAATCACATAAAATGCGCTTGATGCGCCGTTCATTGTAATTCAAAAGGATGAAGCCACCTTTCTCATATAATACAATGCTTAATACTACAATGTAACATGTTATTTAAACAATAAATAATTTATTGCAACAATAACAGTGCTAGCAAGTTGCAAGAATCGATGGCCATTCTCAGATAAAAATATTAAATATGTAGTGAAGCGTCAAAATGTTACTACAATTGTTTTTTCTATAGAATAGTCACACAGAGATGGAAATATGTAGGAACATAGCAAGGGGACAGCAAAAACACATAATAATGTAACTTACCTTCTTTCCCACAGCTCTGTGTGCTACAACAAATTCATCTTTACTATCTTTTTTTGATAAAATTCATAGGGCCACACATACTTAATATCATATCTGAAAACAGGCCCTAAATTTGATCAATAAAAAGAATAACAAAATACATGCGAAATGCGAACAAATACAAAAAAGAAACGAACCTCCTGAGTCTCCTTTTCTAAAATTTCTAACGTAAGATCTTCGTCTTGTTCTGGACTGTTTGACAAATTAACCATGCTTAAATTTTGAGCCAAAATTATATCATAGCCAGGATTCTGCGTCGCCATATTTTCGACACGATTCCATAACTCGTCACGTTGATGCTGTCGCTCTCGTTCCCTACACACAACATTTATTTAATCTTTTCAAATCTGTCGCATGTCCCTAAAGTAATCATTTTGCACCAATTTATTAGTCTAGAAGAAGAATTATTATAAATAAACGACATCTACAAATACTCTGTCTCATTTATTACTAACAATTTTTATAAGTTCAGAAAAGAACGCACAATTGATGGGGAAAAAGTTACTTCAGAGACACAAGTTATTATTGTTCAACGTACTTTTGTCTTTCTTGTTTGTATTGCTGCGTGCATTCGTCAAATAGCTTCTGATTCATCTCCATGAATAATTTGAGAGCATTATAAATCAGTCCGTGAATTGTTTTATTCCAATGACTCTTTGAGTTACGATATAAACTTGGAAACATCATAGGTAAAATTTCGGTCGCATTTTCGGCAACCAAAGACATCACATACTCGTTATTCCAGTAATATAATGCTCGCTCTGCAACTTGAAAATGAGGAGAGCTTACGCATTTTGCCAACTGTTTAAATAGAGGATCCATTACTTTCTGAAATTCGGCCGGCTCTATTACGTCCAAAATTTCTTCTAACTCATTGAGAAACATTACTTCCTTTGGACTGTGTGTTTTTGGCCAGTACTTTAGAAGGCTGCGTATAACCGGTTGCGTAAGTGAAGGGTCCTTTTCCAGAAATTGAACTACACAATACGCCAACTGAGGGTGATATACCGAAAGCGATTTAACTTTATGTAACGGCATTAAAACGCGAAGCAAAAACACTTTGTGCTCTTCTTTTAGTGGTAGCGCGAAACCGTTAATAATTGAACCTAAAATTTCTAATAATTCGGCAATACCGTTATGGTGTTCAGTTTCGTATATAAACCTATAAAATACGTTATTAATTTGTTTACGTATAAAAGCTCGTAACCCTAAAAATTTTCCGTAAATTCTATGTAACGTCGTTTTTAATAAATCACGTTCGCGCGGATCTTCCGAATCGAATAGTTCCAACAAACTTAACACAAATTTTTGATCTATGTAATGTTTCGCTATATTAGGTTGGAAATCGGACGCTTCTAGTACACGTAAAAATAATTCGTAAACTAACTGAAGGTGGGGCCACGCAGCTTCCAAAGTCGGTTCATCTTCTTCCGGATCAAATTCTGCTCCATTTGGATTCGAGGATGGCGGCAACGTACGAAATAGATTTACTGCAAACTAATTGTACGTCGTTAATGTGAAATGCGTCCGAAGAGGTACTAACCATATTAACTGTTTCGGGATATATAGCCTCTGAAAGTACACCTTTGTTCTGCGTGACAAATTCTACCATTTCGTGCAGTGCCGTACGTTTCACTTCTTTCCACTTTAAATCTGATAGTGGATCGGTTGCAAAATCGAATAAAACGCAGCACTGTCTTAATTTTTGAATGAATAGCTCTTCTCTTTCGGCCGGTGGTGTATCTGCAAAAAGATTCCATTTTCATTAGCACAAAAACGTTATTTCCCAAAAAAATACATTCAAATGAGATGGTGAATATTTGAAGATTTCTAACAAAAGTCAGACCTTGTGGGGGCTAGGGCGCCAGACTTACAA